CCTGTCTCTTTTTCTCCGCATAGACTTCAAACCAGGTGTCATAAGGAGAGAGGTTGGGGTCATAACAGATATAGGGCTGGTTATCCACTGGTTACAGACTGAGTAGGTTGTCTGTTATGAGTGCAAGTTCCCTGGTGCATCCCTGCACATTGATAATAGGTATGATATAGCAGGGCCTTTGTTATAATGCTTCCTGATTACATGGTATTAATGAAATGGGAGCATTCTTCTAAGAATTTTCCTCCTGACTGAAGCAAGAAAAGAATTATAACAGAAGAGAAAAGAGACTTGTATGGTTGTTGTAGCTCCATGACAATCCTCAAGCTTCTGCCATGCATAGACTGGTCAGCTTCCAGAAGTGACTAGAGCAAGGCTGTCACCTCTGGCAGTAGCTCGGTTTCGTTGCAAGATCAGCCAGTCTGGCTGGTTTGGAGCTTGCTGGCAGGTTCACCTGTCTTGGGCAGCCTGTTTCAGCCAGCTGTGGTGGATCTAAGGCATAATTCCTGCAATTTTAATGGCAGTGGGAATAGACGAAATTATAGTCTGGGCCCATCCCATTCAGGTCCCAGGGTAGATGGATTTCATTTCTTTACCCAAGCAGAGCCCCTGGGTTTGAAGGTTTGTATTAGATCTGTTAGATTTACAGACAATTTTTCTTGAACCTAGCCATGAATACACTGCATGGCTATTCTCAAAGCCTGCATCTGTCTTCTCAGAGACAATTCCCCTAGCTTGCAGAGGTTAACCTTGATTTGACCTATGATGAAAGGTGACCAGCCAAATAGAATTTCATAAGGGAGTTACCCATTTATTTGGTGGGGCGCATCAGATTTGAAAGAGGATAGTGGGTAGGACTTGATCCCATCTCAATTGGGTTTTCTGACAATATTTTTTCAGCAATTGTTTGAGTATTCCATTTATGCATTCCACTTTTCCTGAGCTCTGTGGCTGGTAAGCCCTGTGAAGCTTCCATTTTATCTCTAACATCTGTGTGAGCTCCTGGACTATTTTGGCTACAAATGCTGGCTCGTTTTCTGACCCTAAGGTCAAGGGTAGTCCAAATCTTGGGATGATGTCTCTTAGTAGCACCTTGGTCACTTCTCATGCCCTCTGTTTTCAGATGTGGAAGTCTTCAATCCATCTTGAGAAGGTGCAGAGAAGCACTAACAAGTATTGATAGCCTCCTGCTTGAGGAAATTCAATAAAATCCATAAGCAAGTTTTCACATGGGGTAGCTTCTGTTTCCTGGATACCAAGGGGCCACATGGACCCCTCCCTGTCTTGGGTTGTTTTGTGCACAGGTTAAGCATTACAAACACCGCAAGTAATGGCAGTAAACCTTGGCACATAGAAATGGAGGCCTAGTAATGTTTCCAATGTTTTTTCCCATATCAGACCCTTGATGGAATTGTTTTACAAACCTGGGGCCAAGCACTTTGGGGATGTTTAGCTCTCATCAGCAAACTTTCACCATCCTCCCTTTACATACTTTCCAGCTCCTTGGGTAAACCAGGCTTTGTGACTCAGAGAAAAATTTGGGGTCTCTGCAAGAGGAGGCTTGGGGATGAGGGATTGGGGATGAGGCTAGGATCCCTCTTTCAACCTAAAAAGAGGCTGTTATAGCAGCCTCTTTCACTTCTCAGTATGTTTTTTGTTTCCTTCTGGCTTCTAATAGTTCAGTCCATTGGTGCCCCCTGCAGTGTATAGCAAACACTTTCTCTGGAGCCAGTATCACATCTAGTAACTACAAATTTCTTATTTGTACTGTATTTCCTTTTCTGTAGTGTTCAAAAGTCCTCTGTTTATGTATAGCTCCATGCACATGCAATATTGCAAAGGCATATGTTGAATCTGTGTAGATGTTAGCTTTCTTATCCTTTGCTAATAAAAGAATTCTTGTCAAGGCTATCGGCTATGCCTTCTGGACTGAGGTCGTGGTGGGCTGAGGCTGGGCCTCTACTACAGAAATGTCACCACTACATATCCTGCCCATCGGATCCTTTGTAGCACAAAGCTCCTTCCACCTGTGAAATATTCCACACCTGGGTCTCTGAGGGAATGATATGCGAGATCTCCCCTGCTCAAGAACACTTCATCTACTACATCTACACAGTCACAGAAGTGGGGCTTCCAGTACAACAGGGAGTGAAGTGTCTAGGTTAAAAGTGCTCATAGTCTCTAAGGTTATGTGGGATTTTCACACAGGAGCTCTTGATAATGAGTCATCTTTGGATTTGATATCCAATGGTGTCCTCTCTGGTCCATTAAGGTTATCATTGACTGTGGTACTCAAATAATCAGTTGTCCCAGTGTCAGCTTGTCAGCTCCCTGAGTCAGCAGGGCAGAGGCAGCAAGTGCCCTGAAAATGGAGGCCATCCTAGGGCCACAGAGTGTAACTGTTTTTAACAAGTACGCCACCAGGTGTTGCCAAGATCTCAAAACCTGAATTAAGACACCTATGGCTATTTCATTTGTGGACATATAGGAAGAAAGGCTTGGCAGTCTCAAGGTTGGGGCCTGAATTAAGATTTCTTTGATCTGTTTAAATGATCTTTCCTGGTCAGCTTCCCAGAGGAGGGGCTCTTTTTCTCCCCACTTTGTGGTTTCATATATGGGCTTAGCCTTAAGTGAAAAATTTAGGATCCAGATACAACAGAATCCCACTGCCCCTGAAATTCTCTTATTTGGCACTGGGTGGTTGGAGTTGGGAGGGTACAGATAGCCTGCTTTTGCTCTGTTCCCCCAGAGTCACTATGAAGCCTAGGTATCTGATCTTTATTAGCAAATCTGTGCCTTTTTCTTAGATACCTTATATCCAGCCCTCCAAAGCAAGTAAAGGTGGTCCTTGGTTCCCTGGTAGCAGTCCTCTGGAGTTGGGGCTACCCGAAGAAGGTCATCTATATACTGTAGCAGGGTGCAAATGTCTGGATGTGATAAAAGCTTTGAAGTCACTAGCTAGTGCTTCTCCAAAGATTGTGGGAGAGTCTTTCATTCCCAGCTTCAAGGCTAATTGTTTCTTTGTGCCTGTGGCAGACTTCTCCCATTGAAACGCAAAAATAGCTAATCTGTGCCAGGCATAAACAGAAAAAAGTATCTTTTAAATCTAAGCAGGTAAACCAGGCAGCACTTGCTAGAATAAGTTCCATCAGTGTGTATGGATTAAACACTGTCAGATGTACAGTCTCAGTAATTTGATTCATGACACACAAGTCCTGGGCTGGTCTGTATTCATTTGTCCCTGGTTTACATACTGGCAGAAGTGGGGTGTTCCAGGATGATTGGCATCTAGCCAGGATTCCATGTTCTAAGAGCTGCTTTAAATGCCCTTAAATGCCTTGCATGGCTTCCCAGTGAAGGAGATATTGGTGGGCTCAAACTGGAGTTGCTCTTGGCTTTAGTTCTATTATCACTGGAGTTTGATTTACACCTAACCTCGGTGGGTTGCCTTCAGCCCAGACCCTGCGAGTCTTGTGTGCTAGTCTATGTACCTCAATCAGCTTTTGTGATTTATCCAAATATAATTTCCATTCCTTTGCTTTTGGGACAGTAAGGGTTAACACCATGGCCCTTGGTTGAGTCAAGCTTAAAGTCATATTTCCCTGTGGTCCAAATTTGAGCCTGCAGCTTTTGGAGCAAAGCTCTACCTAACAAGAGAACTGAGTAGTTTGGCAGACACAGTAACTCATGCTGTACTCCCCCTATAACACATCTTTTAGGAAGACAAAGGTTCCCTTTTCTGAAACTCCAGTGGCACATACAATAGTCACATTTTTCTTTGACAAAATCCCAATAGGTTGTATGACCACCAAGCCCTCTGCTCCTCGGTCTACTGAAAGTCCATCAACTGGCCGCCCATGTTCATCCTGACCATAGGCTCTTTGGGGCCCAAACATACAGAGCCCAGTCTGGCCTAATCCTCATAACCTTCACTTCCTGCCAGCCCAATAAGACCAGCATCTAGTCCTGGGGGCAACTTAGTCTTTTGTGGATGGTCTCCTAGTTTTAGAATTTTCATCATCATTGTTTTAAATTCCCAAAATCATAAAAAAAAAAAATGTACCTTTGCCCCCCACCTAAGGAGTCTTGAACCACTTACTGGCTGATGCTGCCCAATTCATAAACTGATGTCTCCTCACGTAAATTCATTTAAATATTTTGTGCTTATATTTATGTTTAACACTAGCAATGCTTCTTCTAGGGAATATCAGCTGTCATGTAAGGTTCTCAGCTATCCCCAGGTTATAAGAAGCCCAAGATTGCCACATGGAATGACCAATGGCAGCTGAATCAACCCCAGCTGTGCGAGCCAGCTCAGCAGAGACAAATGAAGACACTGCTGCAGATGTATTTCCTGGCTGAGCCTCTGGACACCTGCAGTTGCATGTTAGAGCCCCTGTGAAGCCCATGTGAAGTGAAGCTCAATCAATCCAGAGAACCAGGAACACAAAATGTTGGTTAAGCCACACAATTTTGATTTTGTTTTTTACACAGCCATAAATATCTGAAATATTATATATGTGAAATATCCATAAGAAACCTACATAAGTAGGTATATATAAATATTAATAAGCAATATACTTGTGTTCTAAAACTGTGGTTCCCAGTTCTCACCATGGATGTCCAAAGGGCCTCCAAAAGTTTCAAGAATATTGCAAAATTTGAAAGTCATCGTAAAATGAAACTGACTTTGTTTAGTTTGAAAAGATAAATATATAACATAGAGCTCCTTATAAAGAAGATTAAATAAGAGGTCAAAGAAAGATGTGAAACAGTTGTACATCAAACTTTTATTTTAAAAGTGAAATCATTGGGCAGGGGATTTAGCTCAGTTGTTCTGCCACCTGCCTTGCAAGTGCAATTACCTGAGTTCAATCCCCAGTACCAAAAAAAAAAAAAAAAAAAAAAA